ATTTTGAGTGCTTTATGTCGCCATTTGTCTACTATCTTTACTCTACACCTTTTCACAATATCTAAGATTGTTTTTTGATTCTCAACCTCACTTAGCATGTCTAACTTTTCCAAAGTGACACTAGCAACTTGCAAATCATCTGCCAATTTTTGTAATTCATCTGGCGTATTTACATTTTTGCCTGATTTGAGATCATTAATAATTCGCTGGGCTACTAAGTGATCATTACCAAATCTGGCCTTCAAAATTTCCCGTGCTTTATCATAACCCGATTCACCAATTAGAACACAATTTTTTATTGCATCTTTGGCAGCACCAGACGTGTATTGCAATAACCTGGTCAACTTGACATTTTTATCATCAATTTTGCTGTCAATAGTTTCGTCAAATACTGCACAAAAGCTATAGAAATCAGATGGATTTCCAGAAAATGTGTCTATTTCTGCTTTTGGTAATGAAAGTAAATTGATAAGTTTTTGCTCAGATAATTGTTCAGATTCACTTTCTGGTTTTAGACTTTTCATGTAAGTAACACCTGCTCCAATACCTCTTATGTAGCTATCTTGTACCTGAGAAAACCAAGCTTCACTGGTTTCAATGTCAGAGTCAGTTTCAAGTAGAGAATGATACGCATCATGACAGTTTTCAAAGCTTGTAAACACTTCTTTCAACTTACTAACGTTTGCGTCGACAGTCTTTGGTTCATCCGCGGCTATAGCACGCTCTATCACCCCAATCACTCGTGTAACAGCGCCCTTCCGTGCCCTACGTGCGAGTCGCAGCTTCTCGATTTCTTGATCCTTGCTTTCACTCATATTGTAGTTTCTTACATGGAGATGGTGTCGTCTTAGGGGAATTCAGTTGTCCAATGTCTAGATTTCTCTTTTCACTGTTGCGGATCCCACACCAAACAAACAAACGACGGGAAATGTTCACACTTTATTTCACGCACACTGACATGGATATGGTGAAACTAAAAATAACAAAATAATGAAATATAAATACCAAACTAATTATACAAAATACACAAATATAACATAAATTGAATACAAATATAAAAAGAAATAATAAATTAATCCTAAGAAATGGAAATGTTTTGCAAATGATTAACAATAGAATTGAATACAATACGTACAGAGAAATGTGGCTTTCCCGTCCAAATGCTGATCCACAAATTTTGCCTACTAAAACTTCAGTCTCGACGACCTGAGCCTTCGCTCGTCAAATACAACGTGGCCGCGCCCAGAACTGCTGCATACAGTATATATACAGAGTAAATGATTTGCATAATAATACAAAGCTGACTAGTGATATGATTGTAAACGCAAATTGTTGTCATAAGCGACAACAAGAATTGAAAATCTAGAATTCTAATTACGTCATTTTTTTTCTCATGATTCCATCTACTACTATATATTGTAACCATTCTTACAAGCGAAACTTTTTTCTTTTTTTTTTTCATATACCAATCAGGTCACGTTTATCTGTACAACGTATTTAAATGCAATTTTTACAAAAAGTACAGCACTCATCAATTCGTCTTTTAATAGGTTCTCATGCAAATGACAAAATCCACCAAGGGTCTCAAGAAATCCTCTTTGAATACAAATACGAGCCGTCTGTTGCTGCAGAAACATATCTCTGGTCAGAGGAAGAACACAGTGGTAAGTACGCGTTCACGGTTAATTACTCATCCTTTTCAAACCCCATTTTCAAAATAATATTTCGTGATCGTTTTAACAAAGAAGGCACACTCTTCATAGGATTCCATTTCGTTTTTCAAAAACACCTGTATTTATTAATAGATACATGTATCACGTACAGGGCGTACACCAACAAAGAATTATTTTAAGAAAATGACATTTGCGTTAATATGTGGTGCATTTTTTAAGCCCACATATAAGTCCTTGAAAAACAAAATCATTTCTGTATGTTCGCAATTGCGTTGTGCCATATTAGTTCTGCAATCTAGGTGCATATCACGCCATTGTTCTCTGAGTAATGAACAACAACGACTAAATGTTTGCAAAGGACGTCAGAATTTTTCACCAGAATCACTGAGAATCACTGCACTAATTGGGAAAGTAATACGGATTTTAAAGGGAATAAACTTGGGGTGATATTATGTATTAACGTGATAAATGAGACGAAAAAGCAGAGATATATTACATATTAAATGATTTGAAAATAGGCATTTGAATAAACAAGGAAAGCACAATGGGGGACATTTTCATTATCGAACGCTGGATGTTGTTGGAACTTTTTTCAAATGGTTCTTTATGTCTTCAGCGGGTTTATTAGGGGTCTCCCTGCCTCCACATGCGTCACTAAACGGATAAAGTTACGGCTCCGAGGTTTAATTGCTAGACCCCTTACCTGCAACGACGGCAAGTGTGGAGGCGGGGAGACCATCAGCAGATTAGTCGGCTCTTCTTTCGTAAATATCCGCCATATTTGACTCGTGGATCAGTAGACCCTCGGATACTCTGTTCTGCATTCCCTCTAAGGCCGCTTTCAGAACAGTGGACTCACTAGTCCGCGGGTCAAATATGGCGACCCACTAAAAAGCTTGTCGTCTAATCCGCTTATAGACACTGAATAAATTCCCTGTGGGGAAGTATTCAAGTGGGTCGGCCATATTTGATCCGCGGACTAGTTAGTCCGCTGTTCTGAATGCAGCCTATGATTTATATTAAAATACCAAGCTAATGAACTTTTTTGCCTATTTACTCTAAAGCCATTTTGTACTGGCTTTCAGATGTGTGCCGCGCTGGTGCTGTGCTATCTGTTAGCCTGGTCCCCATACGCCATCTTCACCTTCTGGAGCATTCACTTTCCTCTCCCGCCAGTTCTTGTCGTCATGCCGACCATGTTTGCTAAAAGTTTCTGTGTCTTCACGCCTGTCGCTTGCGGGCTGTTGAACAGGGACTTCAGAGAGAATTTCTGGCAGCTTCTACGAGTGGTTCACCTCGTTGACGGTAAAGTTGCACCGTTGAAGGATGCTAAGCTCTCGGTCACGTTGAGGTGAGTTTTGAAGATTTAACGGCAAAGAATCCATTTCAGATGTACGCATAATTCAGAAGAGTGCAGTTATTTATTCATGCTACGAAAACAATTGACTTCTCAATAAGCTTCTTAGTACTAACTGTCTTTGACAGGGCATAAATGTCAATTTTGAGGACAGTCTAGACATCGATATATCTTGATCCTATGGCACCCGAAGTTAATTTTGAAAAATACTTAATCTTTTGGTTATTTGTCGAAATCATATCACTTAATTCCGAGTATCATTTTCCATATATCTTCAGTGCCGTTCAAAAGATGCAAGACAACGAAGTTCTTTTATTCAGAATGACTCAAAATGACATCTTTATTTGCGAGCAGTCGGCAAGCATTCTACAAAACCCTCCACAACGCGATGACGCCCCCGCTGCCAAGCTTCAGCCAAGCACAAGTCCACGTGGAGGCGCACAAAGAAACGAGTCTCCCGTTGAATTCTCTGAAATCAAACGTAGGACCAATCACAGTGATATCCAAATGCACATTTAGAGGCAAACATTTACACTGTACATAAAATTCCCTATATACTGTGTATATACTGTGTCCTTTCCCTAAAGTGTGCAGACAGTGTCTTAAAATTTCATTGCAAATTCAAATAGATTTACTTCTTGGGTTCTTCACAGTTTAGACCTTTTCTCTGACAGCTATACCAGAATTGTGCTTTACCAGTATGTATTAAAGTTTGATGTTACGGGCGTTCATAGCACACTTTACTGAAGACCACTGCGATATAAGTCATAACTAAAAAGCAATTGATCAATCGACCAAATATGAATTGAAACCCCAATTGTTTTTCACACATCAACTTACATTTATATTTAAACTGAAACTATGACCCCATTCCCACAGATTCTAGATCGATCTATCCCTGTGGGGAGTCTCACTTGATTACTGTCAGCTTAGTCGGCTTAAATGTAAGCTGTAAGGGGGTAATTAACTACCGTGCGCGCTCGGCTAACAGCAATTTAGCGTGAACCCCCAGGGAGATAGGTCGATCTAGATGGATCGCTCTAAATCTATCTATGGGAATGCACTCTATGACGTTACATGTGTTCTATATATCCCAAATTATTAAGTTTCAAAGGTGCCAGGCTGTTTCGTTTCAGAATTAACAGAGGCACTGTGGCTGCAAATTTATTCAGCCGAAACTATTCAGGAAATCAAAACATTTAATAGACATCTGATTAAATTGAAGAGCTTCTTGCTTCTAAATACCTTTATTTGTACATCCAGAATGTAAATGTATACTGTTGCATTTTATGCCCATTAGCAGTTATACATTGTATCTTGACACTGCTAGGCGAATTTTGGGAACTGCATGTTTTCACGGAATAAAATTTTAACTGCTCTATTTCAACAGATTTTGGTCGCCTATTTGATACATTTATAGGACACACGAACGACTTCCTTTTGTGTTCCTTTCGCAGATAATCCTCTGCTACTCCCACGATAGTATACTGCTAACATTCAGGCTTTAGTGAGCAGTGCATTGATATTACTTGCATGCATAAGCAACGGTGAACAAAGTAATTATCAACTAAGGAGCAGATGGATATTTCCTTAACGTGTTTGTCACCTTCACCACTGTACATGGCACACCAAGTAGGCGATAAGTACCTTTAGTACATCTTAACTCCGGGTTTTGCTGAATTGCGATGGTAAATTTAGTGCTGCAGTGAGGAATTCAATTGTTAAGTTCGGGATATTGGGAAATTTTGTCTGCTCTAGTTGACAAGACATCGTTTAGCACTTCTTACTGGTACGAAGACAAGTGAGTGCTGGAATCTCCTTATCGGATGTAATGATTATGGTATTTTCTTAAGGGTGAGACTAAAATAAAATGTCTTTAATCTAGATGATGTCAGTGGGCTAAGGGAGTGAGACAAGCCGTTCATTTTTAGCTTGAAACATTCTTGAGCTGAAACGTGCTGGTATGAGTAAGATTTTCAACGTCATAAATATTTCTCTCTTGGTATTCTGAGTACAGGATACTACCAAAAAATACTGGGCGCATGTTGAAGTGTGTTAACATCCAGAAGGTCGATAACTGCGCCCACCAATATTTTCTGCCATCTTTTTTTTTTTATTGAAACTAATTGCTTCGACCTGTATATAAAGCTTCTTTTAGTTAACAACATCAAACTGTATTTATTAAAACTGAAAAGATAAAATAAAATCATAAGAACATGAAAGCTGTCGATATTTTGTTTTCCTTTGACTTGCACCCCATTTCCATAAATTTTTAGATCGATCTATCCCTGTAGGGAGTCTCACTAGATTACTGTCAGCTTGGCCGGCTTAAGCGTCTGTCCCGCCTACTAAAAGCTGTAAGGGGGTAATTAACTATGGTGCCCGCTCGGCTGACTGCAATTTAGCGTGAACCCCCAGGGAGTTAGGTCGGTCTAAAACTTAATCTTAAGATCGATCTAAATCTCTGGGAAAGCACCCATATCATTCACTGCAAAGAAGGGTACGATGGAGGGTTCATTTCCCCCCTTCTTTTCCTTCTCATCCCCCCCCCCCCCCCCTTCGTACCAAGAAAAAACGTTTAACCAACGAAACTAGACAAAACGAAACAAAATTTTCAGCCTTCCGTATTATGGCAGAAAAACAGCTGTTATTATAAACTGCTTGTGCCGCCCTTGTAGCAAGATGTGTTTTCCCAGGTCTTTTTCTTCTCTAACACAATCCTTGTCCCACGATCCACTTCATCTGTATGGTATTGTTATTCAAATTAGACGAACCCCAAGTGATAGGTAGTCAGGAGAGCGTGATGGAGGACACAGATTCCGAAACGTGGTGGTGATTCTCTTGGAGAAAATATGGTATATTCAGAGCTGCTTGCTTGAAGTGGACACAACAACTCGTAAGTGAGACATGCACGTTGCTTTTTTATTACTGTAACGGATGCCGGAAAGTCAACTTCTTGTGAGAAGGACATTTTCAAAGTGTACCCTCATGTCAGTTGAGCTCGAGATGATTATGTAATCACCACACTACAAGGGTTGGGGATTGGGGGGAGCAGTTTACCTGACCCCCGTAACTCGAAAGCATCGCGCATTGCGACCAAGCGCAGGCGTCTCGATTCCATAACTCG